AAATAAAAATAAGAAAAAAAAAAGAAAGCCAGACAGACTAAAAAAAAAAAAAAGTTACCAAGTGAGTAAATCAAAATGTAAATGAATGGATTATCTAACAGTTCTCCTAGATATGGAAAGACCTTGCACTTGGTAATTTAGTTGTGTGTCGATGTATACTAAAATGTGAATGACTGATAATTATAAGCGGTTACTTCTGCAGGATGATCTCTCTATTCAGTCAGAGGTCTTAAAAATCTCAATCCAAAGAAATATGTTACAATTAGTCACTAAGTTAGGCAAATGTAACCTACACTCATGGCGCTGTCACTCATTTAACCCACAAGCCCTGGTTCCCCTTCACAATTATCATTACTGTCCCCAATTGATTCAATAGTAGTATCACAAGCAGAAGCCTGTGTGCTTGATGAGACTCAAGGCTAGGGAGCATCTAAGTATCCCCAGAAATCTCAGCTCTGACTTACCCAAAGTAACAGTAAGCAAGAAAGCAGCTACCACCACCCCCACTCTAGCCTACACACACACACATACACACACACAATCCCTGGAAGTCTCACAGTTCCAAATAGAACTGTTTCTCTCAGGAGAGAGTGGGTTTTTAAGATAAACTCCTTTAAAGGTTGTGTGCCCACCAGCCACTGATGTAAGGAGCATAATTAAGATGGAAAACAACCAAATCCTAAGGGGAACACAGGTAGAACAAGACTGGGCCGCCTCAGTGAAAAGACCTCTTTTCCCTAGGGCTCTGTGCTCAAGAGCTCTCCACAAGCAAAGAAGTAAGTGAGAGCAGAAAGTAACGTGTGAATAAAACAAAAGGTGTATTTTTGAAGCTCTGTTGTGCAACTACTGCCTACTGCTGGCTTGACCCCTGGGGTCACCTTCCAGTCTGGGCCTGGATTACCACATTTCCCTAAGTTCTTCCCCTCAGGCCCCAGACGTCATAAGTCAAGTAAACTCTGGTGGATCTGTGCTGAGCTCTCAGCAGTGGGCAGGTGGCAAAGGCAAGGATGCCCAGAAGAGAGCCAAGAACACTTGGAGACCTATAGGGCCAACCTCAAATCAGTGATGAAGAGCCCCAAAGAGCTGTGATGAAGTCACTCTTAGCTCCAATGAGCCCTGACATCCCCAGAACTACAGTTCAGAGGATGGGGAGGGCCAGCAGGAAGAGCCAGATGGCAGGTGCTATCAAATTCAGGTGGGGGCAGCATCCTGGCAAGAAGGTGTGGTTCATGTAGAGCCAGTTCATTGCTCTCATTATCTGGGGACTCAAGGAACAGGATCCAGGCTCACAGAGTCTAGGAAAAAAGTTGCCAGAGAGTCAAAGGCAAGCCCAAGTGGCCTGGGCTTCAAGAGAGCATTGTATGCCATCCAAAGAACTAGATGACGAGGTAGAAAATGGCAGCAGAAACCCGTCTTGAGGATTATATCATTAGGGCTTAAAAGAATGAGTTTCAGAATCAGGTGGCTATCAGCTGGAATCCAGCCTGTTCTTCATTTGGAAAATAGGGAGAGTACCTCCCAATGGAACAGTTCTGAAGACTAAACAGGGCAATGAATGGCAAACGATTAATACAGAGCCTGGCACATATTCATAGTATGATGATGGCTCTGACGGGCAGAGATGGGCCTGCTGGTATTTAAGAAAAAACTTTAACAATGAAATCCAGGGGCACAGCCACACCATCAATTTCAGATTCAACTGGCTTATGGGTCCAAGTGCCTAAAAGCTAACCTGCTGAGTTGGGATTGATACAGAAACTGAAGAGCTACAGGCTAATGGCTGTACCAGCTCCAGCTGTCCACTGCTGGAGCCAGCAGAAGCTACACCCAGGAATACAGGCAAGCTTATCTCTCCTCCCACAGTTACCACCACTGGTTCTGATTATGGAGTTAAAAGACACACTGCCAAGCAGCTTGCCACAAAAGGTAAGTGATTCGCACAAGATCACCCAGCTGGTTTTTAACAGAACAAGAACCAGAACAGAGGCCTCCTAACCCAGAGCCCAGCGTTCTTGCCATTCTGCTGGAGTTCCTTCATCTCTTTGATGATCAGGATGTAAGAAAGCATCCATACCTAACTCCCTCCTTTCCTCACTGCCCCTACTATCAGCACACAGATCCATCCTTCTCGATTTGGGTAGCTACTCCCATGGAAAACAGGCCTGTGCTAATGAAAAGGCCAGGCAAGGAGAAGCTACACACACGAAAGAATCTTTCCTCCTTGGGTGTGGAAGCCACCTCCTCACTGAGCACAGGGAATGGGTGTGGGTGACACAGTGAGCACACCATGGAGAAGAGCCAGCTTTCCCCCAGAATTCTGATACCAGTCCTGCCCTCTTTTCCTCCATTTCTTTTTTTTTGTTATGAGACACCAACTACTCTATTCCAAACTCGAGGTATGAATCAGAACTAAAACTGTTTCTTAAATTCACAGCATTTATATTAGTTATTTCTGTCTAGAATACAAGGGCAGTCTATGAATAAAATACACACAGTTGGAGAAGAGGAGAATATTCATCCCACAGCTCTCTCCCAACCCAAAGGCCAACTGAACCATCTTCATGATTTTCCAGAGTTAAGAACATAGTACCAGCCAACTAGAGTAGTTTAATCAATGTTTGGGGTATTGAATTCAGTTCTCACCTGAGCTGATTTGTTGATTTACAGTAGTTAAATTGAAATGAATTACTTTAACTTCATGAATTACTGGGTTCGATTATTTGAAGTAAAGTAAAATGAATTTAAGTTAGTTCATTTGTAGAGCCAGAGTACCCAGAGTTTTAAACACTGGGTTGGTGACAAAGAGATATGGGTATTGACCTTCAGTTACTGACAGCTCTGGAAAACGGACACCAAGGCATGGTCCTGTGCAAAGTTATCGCTGCCTCCTGCAGGTTAGGCCCATTTGGGACAAGGGACTCTAGGTCTGGCATTGGAAGAGTTCATTATCCACCATCCTGGAAGCCCACAGACCAAGGGGAGACAGGAGACTAATGGCCCTTCATGACTTGGGCATAACCTATAAAATGCAGGCTGTGGTCATACCTTGACCTCTTAATTTAATTCAAACTTCTTTGTTACTGTAGAATTCAACCATTGGTCTCAAAATTAAGAACTGTATGTGTATGGAGCTACTTCAAAGAAAGCCCACATGGGTGAACCACACAAACCTAAAGAATATTTTAGGCATTCCCTCTGTGTTTTCTACTCTCCTTTCATGCAGAACTCAATGTGTTCTACATAGTGAATGTTCACATCTTCCCCCTTTCCCACCAAGAACACGATTTTCTACTTTTATCAATTCTTTCTTCCAATTCCCATTGTTACGTAAGCTGAAATAGGCATATGTCTTAAAAATAGGCCTATGTATATAATTTAACTGTGAATGTGGTATTCAAGCAGTCTCCAACTTAAGAGCAGGCTCTGTTCCAAAACTTTGAGTGTATGTCAGTTTTCTGGTACTCAAAATGCATTTTCCCATAGAAACCATGTTGTGCGTGGTGGTTGGAGTCCCAGGCAGCCCACGGAAGCCTGTTGAAACCCCATGTAACTGGAGTGCAATCCTGTCCTAATAGGACCCTAGACCCAATGTGTTTCCGTGGGAGAGCACATCTAGAGTCTAACTGGGGACCCCTTCTCCCTTCCAAATTCCATGATTGTGGGGGTGTTTTTAGGATCTCCCCAAGTTCTCATAGAGATTCAGTTCTCCTGAATCTCAAGTTCCAAACACCCTCTCTGGAATAGTTTATTAGTTTTCTCCTTTTCTTCCACATCTTGCCCATTAACAGTCAAAGGATGCTCTTCTCATAACACATCGGTGCAAAGCAGGAAACGAGACTCTCACCCAGGCTGTCCTGCCTTCAGGGAGGGAGAGCAATGGGGAAAGACCTTACCTGGGAGGCAGGTAGGTGGCTACCCTTATATGCTCTATCAGGCCTTGGTAGCTCATGGAGAGAAAGAGGAAGGCCCCAAGAAACTAGGCAGGAGGGTGTTTAGGACTCACTTCATTGTCTTAAGAAGCACTCTCAGTGCCCAGAACTACATCAAATACATCCAAGAGGAATAAACTATACATGGGGTTTCAAGGTCAACACAGAAGAAAAACTGATATATGTTTCTTTAAAATTACAATCATCCTCAGATACATTATTAGGTGAAAACAGAACACAAAACAAGGTGGGATGAGAGAAGACGAAGGGGTACCACACCTGAGTGAATGCGAGTGCCCTCTGAGGGGCACCAGAAAGCACCCAGCTAGCCCAGCTCCCATAGCAGCTTGGGCACTGCACCCCAGAAACCCAGTGTAAGCCCTCTTGGGATCTCTAGCAAGGTGATTTCTCAGTTTTTCTTAGCTATAGTTGCTTTTAATTTCAGGTTTTGTTTTGGTTTTAGCATTTAGCCTGAAGTCACCTATTCAATGAAGAACTGATATAAATAATGTTTGGAGACATAGAGTCCATTCGTTCATTATTTATGAACCATAAAGTAAATAACTCATCCTCACAGCTTTCATTAAATTCTTTCTATCTCCAGCTTCCACTGTAGTGCCAGAGAAAGAAAAGTAACTTCATACCCCAAATTTGAGGGCTTCCTCTAATTGTCCAGAAATGCCTCTCCCTTAGTGATTAATCACCACAAATCCATAGGAGAAACAACTCGGTGGCTCTTACCCATCAAGAGGAACATAAGGGGTGACGAGGCCCACCTGCCATCCCACACTATAGTCCTTTGGGCATGATCTCTGAAAAAAAACAGAGGTTTCCACCATCAGTAGATGAATGGATAAACAAAATGTGATATATGTACAATAGAATATCATTCAACTCTAAAAAGGAAGGAAATTCTGACACCTGCTACAACATTATGCTAAGTGAAATAAGCCAGATGCAAAAGGACAAATCTATATTAAAGATTCCACTTACATGAGGTAGATAGTTAAATTCATAGAGACACAAAGTAGAATGGTGGTTTCCAGGAGCTAAGGGGATGGGGGAAATAGGGAGTTACTGTTTCTTCTCTTTTTTTTAAATTGAAGTATAGTTGACATAAAATATACATGGTATTTGACAACTGTATACATTATGCATTGCTCACCACGATAAGTGTGGTCACCATCCATCACCATACAAATTTACTATGATATTGTTGAGTATATTCCTTATACTATGCTTTTCATCCCTGTGACGTAATCCCCTTGACTTGTTTCACCCATCCTCTCACCCCCTTCTTTCTACAAACACCAGTTTGTTCTCTATTTATGAGTCTGTTGTTATTTTTTGTTTGTTCATTTGTTTTGTTTTTAAAAAGTGAAATCATATGGTATTTGTCTTTGTCTGACTTATTACACTTAGCAGAATACCCTTGCATCCATTGCAAATGGCAAGATCTCATTCTTTTTATGGCTGGGTAATATTCCATTATATGTATATACCACATCCTCTTTATCCATTCATCTATTGATGATACCTAGGTTGCTTTCATATCTTGGCCATTGTAAATAATACTGCAATAAAAATAGGGGTGCATATAACTTTTTGAATTCGTGTTTTTGTTTTCTTTGGTAAATACCCAGCAGTAGAATTACTGGAAATATATAGTATTCCTATTTTTAATTTTTTGAGGGACTTCCATACTGTTTTCCATTGTAGCTGCACCAATTTACATTCCTGCTAACAGTGCAGAAAGGTTCCTTTTTCTCCATATGTTCATCAACACTTGTTATTTCTTATCTTTGATATTAGCCATTCTAAGTGGTGTGAAATGATATTTCATTGTGGTTTTGATTTGCATTTCTCTGATGATTAGTGATATTGAGCATCTTTTCATGTTTCTGTTGGCTATCTATATGTCTTCTTTGAAAAATATCTATTCAGTTCCTCTGCCCATTTTTTAATTGGATTGTTTTTTTTGGTGTTGAGTTGTATGAGTTCTTTATGTATTTTAGATATCAGTCCTTTATCATATATACTATTTGCAAATATCTTCAGGGAGTTATTGTTTAATGGACCCAGAGTTTCAGTTTGAGATGATGGACAAAGTTCTAGAAATGTAGCAGTGATGGTTGACAACATTCTGAATGTACTTAATGCCACTGAACTATACACTTAAAAATGGTTAAAATGGCAAACTTTATTTATATATATAATTGATATATAAATATATATGTATATAATTAATATATAAATATATTACCACACACACAAAAAAAATATATGGGTTTCCAGCTTCTGTTCAAGCGCTCCACCTCATTTTAAAAACATGTAACTGACAGATAATTATATACCAAGGGCTATTCAAGGTTGGGGGAAGGGATTTTAAAAAAGGAAGATCAAAGGGGGACACATTATGAAGGTGAAATCTGAGCAAAGATTTAAAGTGGAAGAGTGAGTAGGCCATGCCAATACATGGAGAGAGCATACCTGGCAGAGAGAGAACAGCCAGTGCAAAGGTCCTGGTACACATTGTGCTTGGATGTCTGGAGACCAAATGATGCTGAGAGAACTTGTGTGGGTTGGCATGGTTGTGATTGCAGTAATGCTAGAATCTCCAAGCAGAGATGTTCTGCAGGCAGTTAAAGCTGGATACATAAGAGGTCAGGGATGCAGATAACCAATTCAAGTCTCATCATGTGGAAGCAACGAAGCTATGATGTAGGCTATGCATGTTCTTCATTCAGTCACTGTTTTCCCTAAGGCACCACCACCACCCATCCTCTGTTGTGGCCAGTGATGCAGTTTGGGCCTCTGGAGTTCAATTTATACAAAGACTAAACTTCCGTTCTCCTGTCATGGTGTGAAGCTGGGTACTGGAGGGACTCTGGGGGACTAAGAACTTCTCAAACACACTTTCAACAGATACTCTTTTTAGCCCACTCATTCTGAAGCCCAGCACTTGCTCTACCCTTCTGGGTGGGGCTAGAGCCTCTGTTTCCCTTTTATTGAAAAAAGGAGTGAATAAGTGAACAAACGATATTTGTGAAACAAAAGAGAGTCTGGTGCTGGAATATGTGGTTCAGATTCCAGGGGCTCTTAAAGGTCAGGTGAGAGGGAGAAGCCACAGAAAACACCGGAAGGATTAGGAATAGTGTTAAGGACAGGGGTTGCTGCAGATGGAGTACATGATGGGGCCAGAGCCAAGTGTCTGGATAGGTGACGTTGAAGGGGGTCCCTATTGAAAGTATGTCCTAGGACCAGAGTGCATCTTGAACACGCTTTAGGATTGTACTCAACGGTCTTATCCAATTCTAACCCTTCTGTCCTACTTAAACTCATTTTTTTCTGGGTGGTTCCCTCGGTGGGAAAGGATGAACAGGAAATCCCTGAAGATTTCCAAGAATTCTTCCTACTTTGGTGAGCAATTTTGTTATATAAGGTTGTATTTGGTACCTGGGCTTCCAAATCATTTTGAGGAAATTTCAGAACATTTAATATACGGTGTTTCACTCTGTTTCCAATCTGTATATCACTTCCCTCACAAGACCATGACCTCATCGAAGGAAACAAAGATGTCATATTCATTTCTGTAGCCTACGTTCACAGCGTAGCATCTGACCATAATCGGTGCTCAGTAGGTATTTCTGGAAATCAATGGTTGACTACTATCGATGCAACCAGAATAAGGTTTCACTGTTGGAATGTGTCTTAATGCCTTATTCTTCCTGCTATACTTAGGGGGAAAGTTTCCATTTTACAGATCGGTGACATTAAAGGCATATTAGTTATCTACTGGTGTGTAACAAATTACCCCAAAACTTAGCGGCTTCAAACAACATACATTTATTCTTTACTATTATCTCTATTATTTTCCGTTTTCTGTGGACCAGGAACCTGGGCATGGCTTAGCTGGGGCGGCTTCAGGCTCTCTCACAGGCTGCAGGCCAGATGGCAGCTGGAGCTACGGTCATCTCAAGGTTCCCATGAAGCAGGACCTGCTTCCAAGCTCACACAGCGGTGCTGGCAGGATTCAGTTCTTCACAGGCCATCAGACAGAGGATCTCAGTTCCTCACTGGCTGTTAACCAGAGGTTACCCTTGGGTCCTTGCCATGTGAGTCTCTCCACCATGGCACCCTGCTTCATCAAAGCCAGCAAGCCAAGAAGGCAAGAGAAAGAGTGCCAGCAAGATGAACATCAGAGCCTTTTATAATCTAACCTTCAGAGTGACATTCCCATCACTTTCATGGTATTCTAATCATTAGAAGCAAGTCACTAGGTCCAACCCATGCAGAGGGCATGAATACCAGGAGGTATGATTGAGAGCCATCTGAGAAGCAGCCTTCTCAATACCAAGTACCTAAGGTACCAAGTGTACCTAAGTCCTTCAAGATCATGCAGTGGATTTGAGGTCAGAGTCAATGTTTGGAGGTTTGAGCTCTCCCATCTCCATTCTGAATGATGCTGTGGACAGGCCTGGGGGAGTGGGACAAGTGGACTAGAAGGGAGAAGAGGAAAACAGTGAAGGAAGGAGGGCACCAATCCACTTATCCAAATTTACACTGGAACAAAATTTACATTTTTCAAGTTATCAAAGAGTTAGACAGAAATGAGAAGTGACTGCAGGTATGGATTTATTACCACTAATGCAAAAGCTGTTCCTAATAATGTTTTAAAGCATTTCCATATAATACATCTATTCAGTTCAAATTTATAATTGCAGTCTGGAAAGAAGCACAGTGGTGATTGGGGAGCACTGAAGAGCTGAGTTTGACTGGACCTTTGTGTGTAGGTCTTTCTGGTACAGAGGGGAGTGGTTTAGGCTGATTTCAGTGACAGTGAAAAATTCCTCATCCCACCCCTCACCCTATGATGCTGTTCACCATCCCTCATGGAAGAAAAGGAAGTTTGGGGAACAGCAGTACTGGGCCTGGGGAATGGGCTCTCAAATCAAAAGCTGTGTAGGGGGTTAATTTAGATGATTCTAGACCCTCTTCCACCCACAGTTCCCTCTGCCTAAGCCTTCCCCACTGTGTCCTCAGACCTTTCTTCCTGAGGGGTTAGCTCCTCTCCATTTGAGAGGCAGGCTTGATGCAGAAAATCCAAGGCATCTCTGTACCATCTCCACATCTCTAGCCAGTGTGTGTGTCTGTGTGTCTGTGTATTCATGCTCATAGATGCATGTACATGCATGTCAGCGATGGGGGAAGGAGGGCCTCAAAATAGCAACATGTCATTCCTAGACCCTTTAGAAATAAATGAAGCATGATGAGAACAATGAAAGATAAGTATGGATAACTGAAGTTGAAGGGGGGGCAAGTGGTAGAAGAAAGGAGTAGAGAAGTATGCATCTGGTACGTTCTGTCTCACACTTCAAATTAAGCCTTCCCATTTGAGGAAAAAGAAAACCAAAGCTCAGAAATGAAGTAGTTTGCCCAAGGTGATGCATTGGTGGATCCAGACCACAGTCCTAGAGCTATTACTGTGTACTGGATGATAATGGCAGACTGACGGTGTCTACGGGAGCAGCTGGCCTTCCTTATAATAGGGGCTTGGCAAAACTAACCTTCTCCTTCCAGCTTAGAAATTATATACAGACAGTCCCTGACTTATGATGGTTTGGCTTACAATTTTTTCAATGTTATAACGATGGGAAAGCAATATGCATTCAGTAGAAACCATACTTCAAAGTTTGAATTTTGATCTTTTCCTGGCCTAATGATATACCCTATGGTCCTCTCTCATGATGCTGGGCACCAGTCAGCCACATGATCATGAGGGCAAATAACCAATACACTTAGAACCATTCTG